TTGATTCTCTACAGTCTGTTTTGGCTAGCTGCATGGTTCACAACAAGCTTTCATCCCTCCTTAAGACAATGTATCTATGACAATAACTCAGTTTTTGAATATTTAGAAACCACTCCTAAGTAATCGTATCAGATATGCCACTCCCCTCGCCACCGTTACTTAAGATTAGGCTACTATAGATTTCTAGTAAATATAAGTACGATCATGTAGCCTCTAAGGATGATTTTAGTCGATAAAGAAACTTTTTGCACTGAATACGCGGAGAAATTGTTTTGAGAAATATATCTTTTCAAGAGTTTCACCACGGATAGATATCATCTAAGGCTCGCTAGTGACTGGCTGCAGCAGGACGTTTCCTAGAGTTCTAGTGGAAAGTTGTAACCATTAAGGTTTATCCAATCAGGAGTGAGCACAAATACTCGCTAGTTTATTGATTTGTTTATTATTCCTTTGGGCTCCGAGTGGAACATAGAGCTTCAACTAAACATCTACACTTTCTTCTATTTTCCGCCATCCTCTTCAGCTGAGTTCGTGATTGTATATAATATCTCATTTCTTCTTCTTCTTCACAGGATCTCCTCCTTTTCATCCTGAGACGACCTTCACATCAATTCCCATTTGCATTCCACTCAAGATTTGGTATTCATCGTGTGCGATGACATTCGACCAACGGCCTCCTCGGTTGAGTCTAAACGATCAATCCACCTCTATTTTCTCCACAAATTTGCTAAGCAATCGGCTCTCGCCTGGCCATCTGATATTCAGTATGGAGCCAGCAAAGACAGCTTTTGATGAAGGTCTGCAACCTGTTGGAAATCCATTTCGTGACTCACGCACATTGCACGTTTTTGACCTGTATAGAAGGACCGACTTGACATTGGGGTGAAAAATACGAAACTTGTTCCTAATGCAGACTATAGAAGATTTCCAAACTGGTTTGAGGTTGATGAGGGGGCGTATCTTGCCCTTCCAATTCTGACTGACTTTGACATTTTTATCTGTGCTGCTTGTAGTTGAAACGATGCTGGCTGCCTAGATAAGTGAAGAGGTAACCTCTGTTAAATCTCTGCCTTTTGGCTAATGGTCGTGCTGAGTGCATGAATTGGTAGAGGTTAGAATTCATAGACCATTCAAATGAGTCTCAACGGCTGAATGGTCTATGAGCTTGCTTCGTGAACAGGAGCTATTGTTTTCTTAATCCGGTGTGTTATTGCTATGGATGAGCCCCGAACTAGACTGATGAAATAGCTTTCCAACTAATAAAGTATACTTTCTATAGTTTGATTTGTAAGGATTAGTTATGTTTTACGGGTTGATCACGGATTGATATCAGTTAGAGAACCATTGAAAACCAGGGAGTACTGAACAGCTACTGTTTCATCCAAACTAGGATGAAACAGCAGCTGTCCAGTACTCCCTGGTTTTCAATGGTTCTCTAACTGATATCAATCCGTGATCAACCCGTAAAATAATAAAGTATAATTATATTTCAATAGTTTACACACAATGATAAGTTTTGTTACTGGTAATATTTCGGGCAAAATTACTGCCCGTGTTCACACCATTGTTGGAATTGTTTTATTCGAGGAATAAAACAAAATATAAAATAGACAAAGAACAGCGAATTTACGCCGATTCGCCGAAGCGATCGCAATCAAACAATGTAAACCAAACTTATGCATACAGAAAGACTGTGTGTTTAATCTCTCACTCCCTTGGTAACTGAATTTTGATTTTGATTACATTAATTAGTCATCTAATTCAGTGATCTCAACTCACTGAACAAATTTCAGTCTTATAAACTGTAACCGCTTTTGTTTTTTGAGTTGCTATGTAAACCGACAAGCTAACACTTTTCTGTTAGTCATTTTTTCGTATTTTCTGTCTTACCTCTCCCCCATCTTTTCAACTTTAAAAGCGTATAAATTGATGATGATGATGAAATCTTAAACTAAAATATTGTAATGCTTACATTTTGGATGGGTCAGTTTTATAGGATCTCTTCTCTACTACCACTTAAACATTAAAGTATGTTATTATCATCTATATAAACATTATAATTTCAGGTAGTCTGCAGTTAGCTGATGAGAACCCGTGAAATAGAATGATGATATCATTTCACACTGCAAATTTCATCTTCCTTTCTCTATCGAAATTTATCAAAAGAACCAAGCGTATGAAGTTATTGTTCATCCATTTATGATTTAAATTTCTGTTGATGTTTAGGCGGTAGATTTTGACTTTTAAGTCTACTTCATTGAAGAGGAATATATCCAAGTGATTAGTTTTCTACAGTGTCGTAACTGGAGAGTTACCTTGTAGTCAGGTCAGACAAGAAACAAAAATGCTCCACTACAACGGAGATCAGTCTGCGTTGGAACTTGAAACGGATTTCTCTTTTCCACATACTGATTGTTTGAAGTACATCTTTGGAATCTGATAATTCAGACCACTTATTGTGTGGTAATTTAAGATACAAGTATTCTGTTGAAGAGCTTCAAACTGAGACAAACGTCTTTGTCAGTGCTACTAAGATTTCGATAATCCCCTTCGAAATGATGTCATTTCAAGACGAAATAAAAACATCGATAGCAATAGTATGTCGGCTTCCATTTTTCACTATCAACTAAATGATCAACTTCATAAGTTAGAGAGTGATTAATAATGAGGTCCGAAGACGTCTGCTTTGATTTCACGCCTATATTGAACGTTAATTTTAGTTTTAAACAGTGGCTATAGCTTTTAAGATGAGTTGATTTGTTGCATTACATACATTACTGAAAAGTTAAACAGTAGTATTAAATAATTTTCATGTACCATCCAGTTTCTAGTAGGTTTCATCAATTAGTTTAAGAATAAGGATGTTCATCAAAGAAGCTGATAATCCCGGTTCGGCTCCTTACTAATGCACACCCACACATAATCAATTTTATTATTATTATTACTGCCAGAATCGGAAAAGCAAGACAAGCTTTCATTACTCTCAAATCTGTGTGGAGGTCAACAGCACTCAGCATCAAAAATAAGATCCGGATTTTCAACTCCAATGTGAAGTCAGTGCTACTATACGGATCAGAGACTTGGCCAGCGCGTCATAAAGAGCATCTCAAACAAACTTCAAACCTTCATTAACAGCTGTCTCCGCTCAATACTCAAGATCAGATGGCCAGAAAAGATCAGCAACAGGGATCTCTGGGAGCGAACCAATCAGGAACCGGCTGTGAGACAAATAGGCAGAAAGAAATGGAGATGGATTGGCCATAAGCTGAGGAAACCATCAAGTGACATCACTAGACAAGCCATTGCTCGAGTGGAACCCGATAGGGAGGCGGCGAGTTGGTTGTCAGTGCAACGGTGACTTGGAGGAGGTCATGCGAGGAGGAGATGAAAGCATGTGGACATACCTGGAGCAGGGTGAAAAAGTTGTCAAAAAACCGAAGGCAATGGAGGTGCGCAGCTGAAGCCCTATGTTCCTCTAGGAACTAAAGGATACAATAATAATAATAATATTTACTGCCTTGTGTTCTGAGTGGAACATAGAGCTTCAAGAACACATCTCCACTTTCTTCTATTCTCTGCTGACCTCTTCATTTGAGTGGGGCCACAATTATTGTCTACAATCTCTCATCTCCTCCTCTCCAGCGCACGATATTATCCATGTCACCCTCGCACTCAAGACATACTCATTGCTTCCCATTCAGGTTATACCCAAGCAATGGCCTGCATTGCACACGATGTCATTCAACCGACGGTCTCCTCAATGTCGTGTATACCCGATCAATCCATTTCCATTTTCTCCTACAAATTTACTGGTTGAGCAATCGGCCCTTGCTTTGTTGGTCTCTTCATCTCCAGAGTTTCTTCTTGCTAATTCTTTCTAGCCAGCTGACCAGAAGTGAGCAAACAAATTCTACCCTCGCCTGTTGTAAAAGTGTTTGGTGACTCATGCACAATGCAGGTTTCTCACACGTATAGAAAAACTGACTGACTGACTGACTGACTAACTTTACGCATCTGTGTTAAAACAGAATCCGAATTGGGTTATTTATGCTCACTGAGTCACTGGAGAATATTTCCGAATTGGTTTCAGGTTGATGAAGACGTATCTTGCTTTTCCGATTTTGGCTGGCTGGCTGGCTTTGAAATCTTTATCCGTGCTGTCCGACCACCCGCCTGCGGTTGAAACTGTGCTGGCTTCCTGGCCAGATAAGTGGAGGTAGGAAGTGACCCTTGTCAAATCTCTTGCTCCCGTTGATGGTGATTGGTGTTGGTTGTCGTTTTTTTGCTGTTCGTTGGTTATCTTCACCACCACCGTCTCCACCTTCTCTGTGTTCACCTGGAGTTAGTCATGCCTTCTCTGTCTGTCTGCCTCTAATGCCAGTCTTTTGGTTTTCGCCTGCCTATAAGTTTGCAAAATTCTGTGATGTAGACACATATCATCTGTGAAATCCAGATCTTCTAGAGTCTTGTTATCAGACCAAAGTATTCCTCTGTCTTTTCACTGCCTACTTATAATCATCCACTGAGTATAGTCCACTAAAATCAGGCATATCGTCGTGGATGATGGTAAGTAGCAGCCTTGTCTTACTCCCGTCTTCACTTCAAAGCCAGGCTTTGCTGAGTCTTCCTTTGAGGATTACTTGACTGACATGGGGCGGCAGGCATTGTCATATAGCTAGCTGTTGAATGGGGTTGGTGAAGACTTGGGCACTGAGCGGCACAGTGTTGAATTATTTTCCGAATTAATTATTGGTCAACTCTGTCGAAGGGCTTCTCGAAAACAATTAAATCGAAAATATGGGAGGTTGTGGGTGAGACTAGCAACTATATCTCCATAAAAGCATCGAGGATACTGATATTTTAAAGCTTGAATCTGGATGTCACATTCACAATGCAAAGAATGACAAACATACAAAGTTATATATATATGTATATATTAATAATGATTCGAAATTTAAATTATCTCTTATTTAACTCTCTCTTTGAATTCTACTTTGTAGATATCTACAAACCAAAAATTCTTGCCTATAGTGCAAATATCCATCCAGAATCGCATATACCACTCGACTGTATCTCATATTTACAAGCTAATCTATCAGAAACAAAAAATCTATGCAGTCAATTTCTTCTAAGTAAGTTTTCTCTATGTATATTAACTCATACGTCAGCGTATTATTTTATTCCTTTGCCTTCTCAGTGAAAAGTAGGGGGCTTCACGCCTCTAGCCTAAAGTTATGGTATCACTGGTGTTTCTTTTTACGAGATGGGGTTGCTAGCCGTCTCATCAGCAACCTTCCCTCTTTACCAGTTGTGTTATTGGTGTAGTGAGGTAAAGGAGTCCGTCCAGTAGCTGAGGATGGAACCCCGAACCACAACCGTCGCGTGGTTGGCGAGCATTCTACCACTGTCCCACGAACGCTTATTATATATTCTGGAAAAATATTGGAATCGTTCGAACACATAAAAGGAGACTGCTAACCACATTGGCCGACGAATAAGAATTGAATAAGAGACAACGATTTCAGCTGGGTTCAGAAGGTGACATCTAGGAGATAAGATCCTATGGGCAATCACAGATCCAAATAAAGTGGATTTCGGAAAATAACATGAAATGTAGATGTACTTTTGAAGCCTTATGAGCTGACATCAGTTAGAGAACCACTGGAAGACCAACTGAGAGTACTGGACAGCTGTTTCGTCATCGTCGTTAATTGGCAGGAGTTAGAATTCAAGAACCATTAGATCGGGCCCCAGGGGCTCAATGGTCTACGAGACCGCTTGCCTTGTAACCAGAAGATCCTGGGTTCAAACCCCGGTGGGTGCACACTGCTGAAGAGTTCCGAACCAGGATGAAACAGCTGTTCAGTACTCATAGGTTTTCTCCAGTGGTTCTCTAACTGATGTCAGCTCATGATAAAATCCTCCATGCAACTTGACACATAAGTATGCTTATAATCACATATATTGTAATTGCATTTCATACTGTTGTAGTTATTATTTCATGTATTTACACGGATGATGCAATTCCCTCACGGATATGCTCATATATAAAAATAGTAATAATAATAGTATTAATAATGAGACCACAATAAACAGAATGTTAGTGGAGGCATAATGAAGTATAAGTAGATATTATCGTAGATTATACATGTTATACTTTGGAGTTCAGTTAGTAATTTAAAAAGTTTACAGGTTCTCTCTTGACACCTGACTTTCTGTCTACACAGCCATCCATACTAAATATGGTGGTATGCTGGAATCCTCATATTTAGTAGCTATACGAGCGTAAATGCTTCCTATGAAGTTTCTTATGGTTTCTCTCCTCGAAGATATACAAGGCAAAAGGGGAAATCAGTGGAGACGATGTTCAGTATCAGAATAGATAACCTCACCCAAACAACTGCTTGCAAGAACTCAAATGCCTACTGACAATAATGTCAAAGGGACACCACTAACCCTGCCTACTTACAATCTACGTAATATGACATAGGCATTTTTTAGAAGTTCAGGGAAGAATAATGGGGGTGAACAATAAAGGATAGTGGGCAGAATACATGAATTAACAAATTGTGAGAGAAGAGGTGAGATTGAGTTATGTTAGAAGGTCTCAACTTCTATATGTAATAATTCAGGCGAAAAATTGGAAATTAGAAATCGAATGGATATGAGACGCACAACAGAGACTTGAAGAAAAACTTGAGTCGAGATGAGAGATATTCCATTTCCCAGTTGCCGTTAACAACGAGGTAGAGCTCTTTCCACTGAAAAGAATACGCTGTTTCTAGCCAAAAAATAAGATTGCATGCAGGATTTAATCATGAGCTGACATCAGTTAGAGAACCACTGGAAAACCTAGGAGTACTGGACAGCCGTTTCGTCCTAGTTTGGGACTCCTCAGCAGTACGCACCCACCGGGATTCGAACCCAGGACCTTCTGGTTACAAGGCGAGCTCGTAGACCATTGAGCCACTGGGACCCGATCCAATGGTCCTTGAATTCTAACTTCTGCCAGTTCACGACATAGCGCGACCACTTCGCAATGTCTTCTTCGATGAGCTACTGCCTCATCTTCGACCTGCTGTACCCTACTGGTCACGGCTTCCCACTAGAACCCCAGGTTAACTGCCTGAATAGGGCCAGTCACTAGTGAGCATCAGATGAATTTTCAAGTATTGGTTTTTGTAGGGATTTTGTTTGATTGCATGGAGGATTTAATCATGAGCTGACATCAGTTAGAGAACCACTGGAAAACCTGGGAGTACTGGACAGCCGTTTCGTCCTAGTTTGGGACTCCTCAGCAGTACGCACCCACCGGGATTCGAACCCAGGACCTTCTGGTTACAAGGCGAGCTCGTAGACCATTGAGCCACTGGGACCCGATCCAATGGTCCTTGAATTCTAACTTCTGCCAGTTCACGACATAGCGCGACCACTTCGCAATGTCTTCTTCGATGAGCTACTGCCTCATCTTCGACCTGCTGTACCCTACTGGTCACGGCTTCCCACTAGAACCCCAGGTTAACTGCCTGAATAGGGCCAGTCACTAGTGAGCACCAGATGAATTTTCGACTATTGGTTTTTGTAGGGATTTTGTTTGATTGCATGGAGGATTTAATCATGAGCTGACATCAGTTAGAGAACCACTGGAAAACCTGGGAGTACTGGACAGCCGTGGTCGCGCAATTTCGTGAACTGGCAGTAGTTAGAATTCAAGGACCATTGGATCGGGTCCCAGTGGCTCAATGGTCTACGAGCTCGCCTTGTAACCAGAAGGTCCTGGGTTCGAATCCCGGTGGGTGCGTACTGCTGAGGAGTCCCAAACTAGGACGAAACGGCTGTCCAGTACTCCCAGGTTTTCCAGTGGTTCTCTAACTGATGTCAGCTCATGATTAAATCCTCCATGCAATCAAACAAAATCCCTACAAAAACCAATACTTGAAAATTCATCTGATGCTCACTAGTGACTGGCCCTATTCAGGCAGTTAACCTGGGGTTCTAGTGGGAAGCCGTGACCAGTAGGGTACAGCAGGTCGAAGATGAGGCAGTAGCTCATCGAAGAAGACATTGCGAAGTGGTCGCGCTATGTAGTGAACTGGCAGAAGTTAGAATTCAAGGACCATTGGATCGGGTCCCAGTGGCTCAATGGTCTACGAGCTCGCCTTGTAACCAGAAGGTCCTGGGTTCGAATCCCGGTGGGTGCGTACTGCTGAGGAGTCCCAAACTAGGACGAAACGGCTGTCCAGTACTCCCAGGTTTTCCAGTGGTTCTCTAACTGATGTCAGCTCATGATTAAATCCTCCATGCAATCAAACAAAATCCCTACAAAAACCAATACTTGAAAAAATAAGATGACAACCAGTCAGCCTGTGACCTTGTCACCCAGATGGACTCCATGCGTGTGCTCAAATCTTCGAGCCTGGTGAAAAATACCCCAGGAATATATTCAAAAGCAACAGTTTATTCTTCCTAGACAGGAGGTTCAATCAAACTTTGCGCCTTTATCAAAACTTGAAATAATATTGCGGTGGAATACAATGACAGCATTTAAAGTGCTTCTACTGAATTTGTCAGCGAATTGCTTTGGATCATTGAAAGATTTCAAAGAAGGCCTTAAGAACATGCCAGAGGCGTTTCTTCATAGTTTTAAAAAATTCAGACATGATGGCAATTGGTCTAAACTTTAGACCTGATCCAGAAGATGACTTTGATACAGGCAGACACTACCTTTATTTCTTCCCAGGCAACAGGTACAGTATCCCTGTGGAAGGATGTATTAAAGATTTGTGTATATCATAGTATATCAGGACATTTTTGAAGCAAAATGTTTGGAAAACAATCGAGTACGTGCGGCCACACACATACATCGGGAGGAGGAATCATGGATGATCTCTGCAAGTATGGGATTCATAACCAACAACAACAGCAGCAGCAACATCCAGCGCCAATCACCATCAATGGGAGAGATTTGAAAGTGTTTACTTCACTCACTTATCTAGGGAGGAAGCATTGTCTCAACTACAGGCAGTTAGAACGGACGAGGATGTCAAATCGAGTGACAATCGGGAAGGCGAGAAACACACACATTCATCAACCTGAAACCAATCTGGAAATCTTCGTCACTCAGCCTGCATCAACAACAAAATTCAGTCGGATTTTCAATACCAACAACGCCAAGTCAGTCAGTTCTTCTATACGGATCAGAAACTTGGCGGGCGGGTCACAAAGAATATTTCCAACAGCCTGTTGCAGACCTTAATCAACTACTGTCAACTATCGCTCTATACTGAAGATCAATCAGATGGCCGGGCCGGAAATAATCACCAACAAGAAACTTTGGGAAGGAAGAAACAAAACAAGAACCAATCGCCAACCAACAAATATGCAGGAGAAAGTGTAGATGGGTGGATTGGACACTGGCTGAGAAGTCCGCTGGATGACATCGCACGTGCGTCAGGCCATTGCTCGAGTGGAAACAGGCCGAAAGGGAAGCGGTGAGTGGGACGTCAGTGCAAGGGTGACATGGAGGAGATGGTGTGAGGAGGAGTTGAAAGAGTGTGGACTAACTTGGATGGAGGTGAAAAGTAAAGCATAAGGAAGACAGAAGCAAGTGGATACGTGCAGCTGAAACCTTATGTTCCACTGGGAATCTAAGGAAACAATAAATATTAACAAATAAATATACGTCTTCTTATTGTTTTAGAATATCGTTATAATAGTTACATTGCAGATAAAGTTAAAAAAATCAATTGCCAACTTATTACCATGGAATAAGATGCAAAACGTTATCACAGAAAACTCACACACCTACACACAACTAAAGCGATGACGGCATTAGATGAAATATATTGTAGAACGTGTGTAACCATGGTGAAATTAGTTTTGAAAACAGGTTTATCATTATAACCGCATTGAACAAGAAAGATAACAAAAATAACAACGGACTGAGTGAAGAGATATGCACTGCTTTATCTCAGTTAGCTCCTCATCATCGGCTGCCTGGCACTACATTAAGATACCGATAGTTTCTTACATGAAAATTCTTCTGTTACTATTCAAGTGGTTATTTTACTGAATCAGTTTTAGGTATACCTAGACGACGAGAGTGGGGTATGAAATTAACAGAAATGGGTGA